ACACACGCCCGGCATGAGTTTAAGCCACCGGGTCCAGGACACGAACCGCGATTGACTGCATGGGAGTCCAGCAACATAGCCATTACACTAACTGCTGGTCCCCCACCCCCTACCCCGGCATGAGTTTTAAGCCACCGGGTCCAGGGTGCGAACCACAGTTGACTAGTTGGGAGTCCAGCGACATAGCCATTATGCTAACTGCTGGTCCCTTCTCTGGTCAAATGAGGTCTCTTCAGTTCTCTTGGGAAGCTCTGCTTGGAGGAAAATAAGAGACTTCAGGAACTGAAATGCCTCCTGCTCAAAATTCTCCTCTCGGGATCTTGGGCACACACGCACACGCGCCCGGCGTGAGTTTTAAGCCACCGGCTCCGGGACGCGAACTGCAGTCGATTACGTGGGAGTCCAGCGACATAGCCATTACGCTAACCGCTGGTTCCCTCAAAATAAATTTTAGGCCAGGACCAGAAGATGGTATAATGGTTATGCTGCTGGGCTCCCACATGGCTGACCATAACTCAAGTCCCAGACCTGGCAGCTTGAAACTCACACCAGGCGCATGTGCATGCATGCTCAAAACCCTAAGAGGAGAATGGAGAAGGAATTGTGGCATGGCCACCCCCCAGAGGGTGATTTCTTACTTTCTGTCTCTGTCTCTCTCTGTCTCTCGCAAACACACACCCCCCTATAGCAAAGAAAAAAAAAAAAAACCTCTCTATAAGATAATCAAAATTAAAAAATAATAATAATTTTTATGCTGGAGTCAGCAGGTGACATAGTGGTTAAGGTGCTAGAATCCCCACATAGCTGACTGTGGTTCAAGTCCTGGACTTGGCAGCTTGCTTTTCCTTTCTTGCTCTCTCTTTCTCTGGAAAAACTCATGTGAAATAATAATAATAACAATAAATAAAATAAATAATTCTTTAAAAAATATAATAATTTTTATGCCACAATGATGTATTCTAGACCTCTTCATGTTAAATGTATTTTTTTTTCTTTTTCTCCAAAGTTTCTACATGACTTTTATCATTGAAAACATAAGATTGGGGGGACCAGCAGTTAGTGTAATGTCTGTGTCGCTGGACTCCCATGTAGTCGACCATGGTTCAAGTCCCGGACCCAGTGGCTTAAACTCACACCGGGCATGTGTGCATGCGTGCCCAAGATCCTGAGAGGAGAATGGAGGAGAAGGGATTGCGGCATGACCATCCCCCCTAGGGGTGATTTCTCGCTTTCTGTCTCTGTCTGTCTTTCTGGCAACTGCATGCAACCTATAGCAAAAACCTCTCCCCTAAAAAAAGGAACATTCCTATCTTTTTATTTATTTATTTTTAAAATCAATCTCACTTTTCATACAAATCATAAAAAAGTTAAACCACCATTAAATCTGTCGGAGCTCTTCAGTCTAATTCACCTGATTTCTTTAGTGACATTAACTTTAGTAAAGT